AGCTACGGGCTAGAGTTAACTCTCACCTCTGCGACCTCTAGCCCCATACACACACTGCCCCCACACACTCCATACACATTCACACACTGCCCCCCATACACACACAGACCCCCCATACACACATTGCCCCCACACACAGTCACCCATACACACATTGCCCTACACACTGAATCTTTCACACAAACTACACCCCTCACACATTGCACCACTGCTCCTATACCCTACCACAGCCCCATATCCCAGCAGACCCCAGGTAAGTTGTCAAACTGTTCTTAAACGGTTTGACTACTTACTCTGGGAGCGGGTCCCGGCACTCCTGGCACCATAACCACTACACAGAGCAGTAGTGGTTATTGTGCATGGATTATTTCTTTAAATAATCTATAAGTGCCCCTCCCGAGATCAGGCTCTGTATCCACCACTGGTGTGTGTGTGTGTGTATATATATATATATTTATATATATATATATATATATATATGTGTGTGTGTGTGTATTAGAGAGAGAGAGATATTATATTTACACATATATTAATGTACATTTATATATGCATTATACACAGAGAAATGTCATTGATATGTACCATATGTAATGAGCAGATATTGGCCCAGTCTGTTGCTAGGTGCATACTCCAGCACAATAACATATTTAAAGTAAAGAACGCACCCACAGGACTTCAAAATAAACAAGATAACGTAATTTTTTACAGTTGTGCCCTACATACATTCACCATTTCAGTCCCATTACCAAGCTTTCCTTAATATGTCATGGTAGTTGGACTGAAACATTGGTTATATGCAAAGGCACGTCTGCTTAAAATAAATCTGCATTCTTGTTTTTTTTTTTTTTAAGCCTATATGTGCTTTTTTTCATGTTGGAGTAATAATTTTTAATTTTAAGTTATCTTTTCTAACACTATGCTGGCGCAACGCATTATGGTGCTGCTTTTAATTCCCAGTCCGGCCCTGTACAGAAGTCATTCAAAGGTACTGTTTCCAGAGATTGCTTCAGGATTCTCCCTTATAACTATACCTGGGTAGCGCTACCTACACCTAAGGGCCCCAACATTGTGCACATAATTTACCTGCGGGTACCTAGGAGTTTAACTGTTCAGATGTAGTTATTGATGTTGTTAAGGGAAGTTTGTTGTCTGCATTCCTGCTGCTAAAGACTCTTGTGACTGTATCATTCTTACATCAGGGACTTTATCATCATTTAACATGATGCATTTTTATTTTTGCTATTATATGTGTATCTCTTTAACCACAATACAGTGTGAATTTCCATTTCTGTAGTCATTTCATGTGTCTGAGTTAAGTGGAGGGTACTCATCTACTCAGTGGGGTGGGTTCCCCATAAATAGAAGTTGCACTATTGTGGAGGCACTATGTCAGAACAAGATGTCCCGATCTCCCAATTATAGCGGAGGCTCAGGATCCCTGTCAGCGACAGAAAAAGGTGTAACTGCTGCTAGCTACGGCTTGTTGCCAGGAGCAGGGCAAAAAAGGGTTACACTAACTTTTAGTTTTTTTTTACTATTTTGGCCACATCTGTGGAGTACCACAGTCATTTATTAATTTTTTTGCTTTTACTGACAAGCCTAATGTAATTTTCTGTTGCCTTCAACAGTGCAACTTTTGAATAATCCTATTTCTCTTAGACTCCATTTAAATTGCTTTAGTCTGATAATGACTCCTTTACACATATTCTAATTTTAGAAAAATCTGTTTTTCGAAAGTCTAAAACTTTTGTTTATTGTGGTGTGACTCAGTCACTGTTCTTAAATATTTTAGATGAAAGTTTATGATCCAGTAATCATTAGTCAGTGTGGTTTAATATGATACCAAATCTCCACTAAATCTAGTATGGCCTCTTTACGAGTTGGCTCCTCAACGACTTGTTTTAGAGACAATCCCAGTAGGGAGTTTAGAATATATGTGCTCCTGGCACAAGCAGCTATTTTGGTTTTCCAGTTCACATCAGGAAGATTAAAGCCACCCATGATGATAACTTTCCCCTTCATTGTCATTTTAGCTATTTCCTCAACTAGTGGATTATTTAACTCTTCTATTTGTCCTGGGGGCCTATAAATCACACCTACACAAGTTACTGTGTGTTCACCAAATAACCTCACTAACTTTTATTAGGCTAGATTTTATGCTATCCTTCACATACAGTTCCACCCAGCCCCCTTTCTTGCCTTCCCAGTCTTTTTTTAATATAAAGACTACCCTGGTATTGCCATGTCCCAGTCATTTTTCTCATTATACCATGTCTCAGTAAAAGCGACTAAATCTAAATTATCAGTGGCCATTATTGCCACAAGTTCATGGATCTTATTCCCTAAACTGCAAGCATTTGTAGTCATGACTCTAAGCTTATAATTTTTTAACACACTTGCTCCAGGCACCTTCTGTCCTTGTTTTGGGGGGCAATTGAATTGATGTTTTATCACCCTTTTGCCCCCTCCTAGTTTAAATACATTCTAGCAAAGCCTCTGAACTGCTCACTGAGAACATTTGTTCCCTTTTGAGAAAGATGCAAACCATATTTTTTGTACAGTTTATTTCCATTCCAAACAGAGCTACCATGAGAAATGAAGCCAAATCCTTGCTCCCGACACCATTCACCAAGCCACAAGTTAAAGTCCCTAATATGCATCCGCCTGTCGTTCTGAGTTATGCACAGGAAGAACTCCAGAGAATGACAGTGTGGAAGCAACCTGCTGTATATCATTGGCAAAAACACAAAAAGACTTCCTTTACCTCTAAAACCTCATTACAAGACAAGTCATGTGTCCCTAGGTAGACAAGTACATCCATTTCCCCTTCCTGCTTTGCTCATTTAAAAGTATTACAAATACGTCTCCTGTCTCTGTGAGCAGTAACTTCGGGAAGACCTCTCACAAGACCACTATGGTTCAGCTCCACACATCTAATGATAGAACCACCCAACAACTGCTTTCTATTAGACCTCACCATAGTCTCCAAGCCTGTCTCCACAATACCACTACACTCAGTGCCTGAGCCTGTCTCCACAACACCACTACACTCAGTGCCTGAGCCTTCAACAACACCACTATATTCGGTGCCTGAGCTTGTCTCAATAACACCACTAAACTCAATGCCTGAGCCTGTCTCCATAGCACCACTACACTTGGTGCCTGAGCCTGTCTCCATAACACCGTTACTCTGAAAGTGCTGAATGAATTATGTAGAGCTACAGACTGTTCGATATGCCTTTTATCGACAACTCTAAGTCTACCAGATCCTACAGTAATCCATCTGTTATTCCTAGTACGTCTCTGCGGCAGTGGCTTTGAAACACTTTCAGCCTGAGTTTGTTTACCGGATAATTTACAAATCTCAGACTTCAAAAATACAATCTCCTGCCGCAATTTAGAGAACTGTCTACAGATAAGACAGCATCCAAATCTTCAAAAAGTGGAAAGTAAATGCATATCAGGAACAAAAAACAAGCCATGAGTTCCAAAGAACTGCCTGAAAAACTTAGACTGGATGTGTTGAAGCACAGATCAGGAGAAAGAAAAAAATAATTTATTGCATTGAAGGTTTACAAGAGCATTATGGCCTCCATAATTCTCTTCAAAGAGTTAGTTGCCAGACCAAATCGAGGAATCAGGTGGAGAAGGTTTTGGGTAAGAATGATGTCCATAAAACTGATCACTCTGGGTGAGAAGCAGAGATCATGTGTCAAGATGGGAGAAACTTGCGAAAGAACAATCATCACTACAGTACTTCACAGATCTGACCTTTATGGTAGACTGGCCAGACTTAAGCCTCCTCACTTCAAGATGTATGTAAGCCCTCTTGGAATTTGCAAACAAAAGCAACTAAGGTACTCTTAGACTGTAAGAAACAAGATTACCTGTGTAATGACATTGTGATGTGGTGACATTGCTGTAGACCCTCTACTCTGCATTAGCAACCTCAGTTTGCATATGAATAGCCGCCTTCCTTATTGTACGCAATTCCTGTTAGACACACACCTACTCAGGTTTACAATATGTAACTTTTTAATTCAGTCTCTGCTTCCTGCTCTGGTGCTCTCCAGACCTGTCTGTCTTGTCCCAATGGCTGTGTGTAGAGTTGAGCAGACACCTGGATGTTCGGGTCCGGCGGGTTCAGCCGAACTTTGAAAAAAAATCTGGGTTCGGTCTCGAACTTGACCCCGAACCCGAACCCCATTGAAGTCAGTGGGGACCCAAACTTTTCGCCACAAAAATGCCTCTAAAAAACTCCTGGAAAGGGATAGAGAGCTGCAAAAGCAAGTAAAATGGGGGTAAGAGTAGGACAAGTGCCCTGCAAACAAATGTGGATTGGGAAATCACTTAAAATAACATAACAATTAAAAATACAGCTGAGCCATAAAATAGTACTAGATGGAATCTTTGATTTTAGCTTTGGAAGAACATAAATCAAAATCTAAAGCATGGCTGTCAGGAGGATCACCAGAATTATCCATTTGAGAGAGGGTTGGAGTGCAGGGTATTCTCTTTCATTGTTCAAACTGAGCTCAACTCCTGATGCATGGAGAAAAGGCCTTCACAAGCCTCTGCTATTGTGTACATAGTTTATACGAAGTGACCCATAGATTGAAGAGGCGGTGACCATGGCGGTGTAGGTGGAGGATGAGGTAGCCAACACTTTTTTTTTTTTTTTCTTTAATTGAGGTAGCTCACAAACTATTGGGACATACAAAAAAAAACCATTTGCGACCTGTGGTGCATTTCTTGCAGTCCTGATGTATGGAGAAATGCTCAATTCCTGACGCATGGAGAAAAGGCCTTCAGAAGCCTCTGCTAATGTGTACATAGTTTATACTAAGTGACCCATTAGTTGAGGAGGCAGTGACTGTGGCAGTGTAGGTGGAATCAGCGGTGGAGGAGAAGGATGCCAACACTGTTTTTTATATATATTTTTTAATTGGGGTAGCCAACACTGTTTTTTATATATATTTTTTAATTGGGGTAGCCCCCAAAATATTGGGACATATAAAAAAAGACAACTCTGTTCCGCAGAGTAGCTGGTGACATTATAGTTGTGCAGGCACTTTGTTGACTCTAGAAAACCTCGGGGCAATCGCACATCCCCGTGGCGGCGACTTTGCATGCGGATGTCATCCATATGAACTTTCGATGCCAGTTTCTGCGCCTTCTATGGTGACCACGGGTAACGGGGAATCAGGGTTCCATTCCGTACAGGGACTCTGAGAAACTGCTACCACATGCAAGGAAGGCAACAGGTGCGCAAATGACCCACTCCCGACGCGGGAAGTTAGTGACGACAAATAACAATACAGGACTCTTTAGAGGCCCTGTAATTGTAATGAGTCCACTTGAAATCCTTTAACTCTGATCAATTGGAGGGAAGTCTGGTGCAGAGCCACTGACCCGTGCGTGCTGCAGCTGAAACTCCACTATCACCTGCTGCTGCTCGCACAGTCTCATGTGGCAGTGAGCAGGAAGGCCGAAATTACGCTGCAGCGCAGACAGGCAAGCAGCAGCATGGTGACAACACCAAAAGCATGCCCAGCCGCTACAGTGAATGTCACTTCCTGTTCCAAGTTGCCGATCAGTCTAGTGATGGCTTCTGGTATCCAGTACTCTTTTTACTGAAGCTGCATCAGGTTCCTGGTATGTGGCTGCACAAACGCTGGTGCTCAACACCAGGGGGCGTGCTATTACCCTGCACCAGACCCTGCTAATCCATTTCACACTGTGACTCCTAACTTCATCATCAGGCATTCTGGGTCCCGGTTGTCTGACCGCCGCCCAGACAGTGTCTTGGTCCTGTTCATCGGACTGCCCACCTGACTGTGAAACTACGAATGGATCGTTATATCTGGTACGAACCCAAACTTTGCAGTTCGGGTACGCTCAACTCTATTATGGATCCTTTGATCGCTACATGTATTACTTGGATAACTGGTAATTCTCGAGCTAATACATGCCGACGAGCTCTAGGGGATGGCCGCTCCGCTCTTGCACCCTGCTCCCTCTGTGCTGGTGCCTCTGTGCGACCAGCGCCTCTTCCTCCAAACTGCACACGTCACTCGCATGACCTTGATTCCATGTGGGGTCTAGGACCTCATCCTCCACATCATCTTCCACCCACTCCTCAACCCTGCCCTCCTTGCCGGTATGCACACTGTCGAAAGCCACAGCAGTTGGCACCTGTGTTTTTCCAGCATGTAAAGTCTGCAAAGGACATATGGAAATTGTTTTAGAATTGTATCCAGGCAACAGTTTTCCCTATAAACTGACCTCTCAGTTTGACTTGTGAGGTTATTGCCCCAGAATTACAATATTGTTTAAGTACCTCTTAGCTATTGATAACTGGTTTAAATATGGCAGCTTGTTATCTGGTAGTCTCTAGTGTAGAAAATATCAATCAGTTTTCTAACACTTAGATCTGTGTAACAAGTGTTGTAGGTGTGAAACAATATTACAAGTGACCGATGTAGTAAATTCAAATCAAAGTTACGCTTCGATTTGACTCTCAGATATGAAGTGAACACCCCAAATATACTATTTAGCATAAAAAAAATTACTTTTTAAAACTCCAATGTAAGCAGCAGATTAGCAGCAAAAAAAATTAAAATTTTTACAACTGCGCTGTAAGCACACTATTAGACGCTTCTATTTGACTCTCAGATATGAAGTGCACCACAGGCCCCAAAATGTACTATTTAGCAGATTAGCACCCAGAAAATTAAAATTTTTACAACTGCGCTGTAAGTACACTATTAGACGTTTTTCTTTGACTCTCAGATATGAAGTGCACGCCCCAAAATGTACTATTTAGCAGATTAGCAGCAAAACAATTAGAATTTTTACAACTGCGCTGTAAGCACACTATTAGACGCCTCTATCTGACTCTCAAATATGAAGTGCACCCCACTAAAATACTATTTAGCAGTTTAGCACCCAAATAATTTTAAGTTTTAAAACTGCAATGTGACAGCAGTATTTGACGATTCTATTTGACTCTCAGATATGAAGTGCACCCCACTAATGTACTATTCAACTAATGTACTATTTAGCACCAAAAAAATTGACTTTTTAAAACTCTGATGTAACCGCGGTATTTGAAGCTTCTATTTGACTCTCAGATATGAAGTGCACATCACCCCACTAATGTACTAGTTTGCAGAACTTCACAGTCCGGGTTCGCTCAACTATAGCTCTGTGTCCTTAAGTTGACACTGGGAGGCTGTTTGCCTGATTTAGTTATTTTCTAGTTTAGTGTTGCCTCAGTAAGTAGGGGGACTGATTGTATAGAATGCAAATATTGTATATAGATATGTGTTATTGTGTTTAAGAATGGCGTGTGTATTTCCAAATATATGTTTAGCTAAATGAGTTAGTGGTAAGTGACTGAGATATTAAAGTATATATAAACATTATCACACTCTTATCTGATGAAGAAGAGATTGAACTGTTTGGCCTCAATTTAAAGCATTATGTCTGGAGGAAACCACAACAGTAAAGCACTGTGGTAGTATTATGCTTTCCAGACTCAATGGCAGGGGCTGGGGGACTGGTCAGCTTTCAGGAAACGCTGGATGCAGCTAGTGGTGTACACACAATCCATGGGGCCCCGGTGCGAAAATTGATCCGTGGGCCCCCCTCACCCGTGGCGCTTGCTCTGCGCGGGCCAGGGCCGCTACACATGGCGGCAGGCACTGTGGTGTGCACGCCAGTGCATGATACACATACACTTAAAGGACCACTATAGCCACTCAGATCACTTCAGATCAATGAAGTGGTCTGGTTGCCAGGTCCCTCTAGTTTTAACCCTGCAGCTGAAAACATAGCAGTTTCATAGAAACTGCTATATTTCACTGAGGGTTAATCCAGCCTCTAGTAGCTGTTTCACTGACAGCCGCTAGAGGTGCTTCCGCGATTTCGCTGGACGTAAATAGGAAAGCATTGAGAAATGCTTTCCTATGGGCGATTTGAATGCGTGTGCGGCTCTTGCCACGCATGCGCATTCAGAGCTGAGAGGCAGATCGGGGCGGAGAGATCCCCAGCGCCAAGGGAGCCCAGCGCTGGCGAAAGATAAGTGCTGAAAGGGTTTTAACCACACACACACTGTCACGAACAGACGTATACACACTAGCTGACAGACACACACTCAGACAGACACACATACACTCTCACTGACAAACACACAGTCACTAACAGACACAGACAAACTAACACACACACTCACTGACACACAAACAAACACACTCATTGACACACAAACTAACACACACACTGACACTCACTAGCAGACACACACTCAAACACAGACACACAAACTAACACACTCAGTGGCACACACACAGTAACACTCACTAACACACTTACTGACACTCACTAGCAGACACACACTAACGGACACACACAAATTAACACACACAGTAACACACTAACAGACACACACAAACTTACACACACAGTAACATACTCACTGACACACACTCATTAACAGACACACAGTAACACACACAGTAACACACACACTGACACACACACAGTAACACACTCACTGACATACACAGTAACACACACACACTCACACACTCATTAACAGACACACACACCGTAACACTCAGTAACACACACACTCACTGACACACACACACGCACACACCTGTGACCACGGTATGTACTCCAGTGGATGCAGCAATTATTAAAGAAAAGCCTGGTCCAGAGTGCTCTGAACCTCAGAATGTGCTGAATGTTCACCTTCCAACAGGTCAATGACACTAACAGCCTAGATAACACAAGAGTGATTAATGGACAAGTCTGTGAATGTCCTTGAATGACCCAGGCAGAGTCTGGACTCAACTTTGGAGTGAACTGTTGACCGACAGTCCCCAACCAACTAAACAGAGATTAAGAGAATGTACAGAGATGATCGGCAGAAACTTCCCAAATCTAGGTGTGCAAAACCTGTCACATCATACCCATAAAGACTTGAGGCTCACAAGGTGCTTCAACTAAAAAAAATGAATTAAGGGTCTAAATACTTATGCCAATGTAGTTTCATTTTTTTTTTTTACATTTATTTGCAATGGTGTAAAAAATATCAATATTTTTGTTTTGTAATTATGGGTTATAGGGTATAGATTGATGTGAAACAAAATATGATTAAACAACTGTAGCATAAGACTGCAACATAAAATGTAAAAAAAAAAAAAGGCGTCTGAATACTTTCTGAATGCACTATAAATAAGGCACAAAGTGACATATAAACAAATAGTGATCGTAATAATTATCCTCTGCTTAACTTTTAAATCTATGGTTAGAAGGACCAATAATGTATGCAACAGGCCACATGCCCACAAGGCTTGTGTAATGATTTATGGCATTTTGGTTAAAGATATATTTTCAAACTCCCTTGTACAGGTTGCTCAGTGGTATGTGAGAACATCTGCCTGACAGCATTTGTTAATTATTTGCTGCAGGAGAAGTCTGTGACAGGAGGCAAACGTGGTGGAAAGTTTAGTGATAGAGGTGACCAACCGTGCATTAAACTAATGGAAAAAAAACACAAGTTGGGAATCTCATACCTATAATTCTCAGGCAGTGCATTATATTTTAACAGCCAGATAGTATGATGTTGCTACTTAAACAATTAATCTGTTCATATTTGTAATGATACCTTACCTTTTCCCTCCGGACCCGCGCAGCGCGGCGTTCTCGCTTCCGGGAGGCGGCACAGTCTGTCGGACGCGGGCCATGCGCGTCGACGTCAGCATAATTATACAGCGGAAATTTTAACGTTGCCACGCTCCTGGACCTTTTGGGGGCATGGATTTAAAGCGAAAGGCACCACACTATAAAAGGGTGCCCTTTTCATTGGTTCAGCGCCCTATTGTGGTTCTTGATAGTTCCCATTAGTGCTCTAGAGATCCTTGATTGTATTTACTGATATTTGACTCTTGGCTTTTCCTCCTGACTATTCTGCTCTCTGGTTTCCTGATTTTTGGCTTGGTTACTCTCGTGTGTCTGCTTTCCGTACTCCCCGACTCTTGGCTATTCCTTTGACTACTCCTTGGCGTTGAGCCCAGCCAATCTAAGGTCCGGTATACGTCTCTTCTGGGTTACACTCTGCGTGAAGGGGTCACTGTCCTCACAATATTATGCTTGTTGAGGGCTGTTTGTCTGCTGAGAGTTAAAGTATTTGTAGGATTATGCTCTAGTTTGAATGAAATCCTGTAAATTCTATTGTGATTACTGTATATAAGTTATTTTGCTATCAATCTATGCCAAATGTCCCTTACGCACT